AACCAGAGGGATGCGCCAAGGCGGAATGCAACTCAGTGCAAACTGGGTTGCGGGAGCCCGACGCTGAGCTGCCTGTTGGGGTTTTGGGGTGATGCTCCCCAACTGGAGGAGCTGTGGGTGGGATGGATGCTTGCTCTGGTTAAAACTCCCTCAGCAAGAGAGGGGCTTGAGAGCAGAGCAGGAGCTTTGGAGGGAAGTTAACCAACCATTCCCCAGGTCAGTGCTGAGCTCCCCCCTCTCCATCCGGTGTTTTCAGGGTGAATCCCACCCAGAGCACTGTATTTGGGTTGCTCCCCTCCAACACACTCAGTTGACAGCAGAGACAGGCCCATCTTGGAGTCATTTGCAATGAGATTTATTTGTGAGCCGTGCTCCCATTGAGCTTCCCATCAGCATGATCGACATGAGTTGCGCTGGTGGGGACACACATGGGGTCTGTGGGCACCATGGAGTCACAGGAAATGGGGCACAGAGACCCCAGCAGCCCCACAGCATCCCGCTGGGGCATGGATTTGATGCTCCAAACCACCTGATGGTACAAAAGAGCACCAAACCGAACCCAGAATGAAAGGGAAAAGAAAACAGAGGTGTGGTGGAGAGGTAGGAAGCAACCAAGGGCAAAGATTTCTCTGCCTGGGGTTTGAACACCAGTTTGAAGGGATGCTGAAGGGACACCTACCACAAACCTCCCTCACCTGCCACTTCCCATCATCATACTTTGGGACTGGGTAATTCATTTTACCCTAAAACCAACTTCAATGCAGGAGGTGCCAACAGCAGCCGATGCCATCAGCGTGGCCGTGGCTCCATCTCTGCCTCCCAGCATCTTGCAACCAGTGTGGGGCCAGCGTGCAAACACCAACGCCTTCTGCCCAAACATCCCTTTCTCATAGCAGCACAAAAGGAGCCGATTTTGAAGGAAAGAAAAAACAAACCAGCCCCTCGAACAAAGCATCAGCCAGTTTCTCCCTCCCTATCCCCATCAGAGCCTGGAGCTGTGGTTGGATGTAGAACAAAGTGCAAAATTGCCAAGAGCATCTGACTTGAACTCCAGCCCTAGGAATAAAAATGACATGAAATGAAGTAAAATAAAACAAAGCCCAGACAATATCTCCTCCTCTCTCTCTCACACATTGGTGTCTAACAGAGGCCATTCCCCTCGTGGATAGGTCCAGTTTGGGCTGCACATTAGCACTTTAGAGACCTGTAACATTATTCCCAACCCCTGAAGACTTATAAAGAAGGTAAGATGTACAGATACTCCTCAGGAAGCCAAAACTGGTCTTCTTGTGTTATTTCCTTCTTTTTTTCCCCACTGGTGCTGAGCTATGTTTGCTGGGTTGGGGAAAAGGTAGGGGAGAAACCAATCTTTTCTACAGCCAATGCATACAAAAACCCTAAGGAAGGTTCAAAGTATGTACAGGAGGTGTTAATAGCAGCATTATTGGGTTTGGGGGCTGGAAATCTTCAATCATAGCAGCGGGTTCTGCCTCTGTTTCTTACCCCCCTTACAAATTTATAGGAACAACCTTTCCCTCATAAGCAATACCATCCGTATCGGAGGATACCAATCATTAGTAAGAGATTTAGAGGGGATTTGAAACGTCTTCCAGGGCTTTTGCAGCAATCTGTTTAAAAGATTAATTTTATTTTGAAGGGATGGAACTGCATCTCTCAGAACAAAAAGTTAATGAGGACCAGAGCACCAAAATGCCATTTTTCATCCCGGGCTGTGACTTGCGGTTAGGCGCTTGACCTCCCGAAATCAGAAACTCGCTGAATGTCTCCCTTGGCCGAGTTTGACTTTCCCAGCAGCAAGTCCTGAGCGCCAGAAGCCGGTTTGCAGGATCCCAATCCCGGCCTCTCCAAGCAGAGCTGAAAGGAAATCCATCCCCGTCAGGCATGGCAATGCTGGGTCGCTCCTCTTTCAACTCAAGCTTGATGGGGACGGGACAGGGAGCCCAGATGTGGGCTGGGGAAGGCTGGGGGACGTCTGTAGCATCTGAAGAAAGGTCTTGCCCTGAGACTCGGCTGCTTTGGGGTTTTTATGCTTTGGGGTTTTGTGCATTACCTTATACCATTACCTATTGCATTACCTTACACCATTACCTATTGCATTACCTCGTGCAATGCAATATAGGGGTCAACCTTTGGGGGGAAAGAATGGAGTTTCAAGGCAGTGGCAACACAAAGCCCCTTTGCTGTGTTTCAGGGACCAGAGGTGATGCTTGCCCTCTTCTCTTCATCCCACACGTAATACAGAGGAGAGAAAAACCACCCAGGCTGCAAAGCCCCTGCCTCAACTGTCAGCAAAGGCAGCAGCTGACAAAAGGGATTAAAACCTGTGATTGACAGTCTATCCTCCCACTAATAACACCTGGGAATGCCAGAGTGCCTTAGCCGTCATGCTGATGCTCAGTGATGCCAGCATCCATAGCAGCTTGATTCTGAAGGATTTTAAAGTGCTTGTTACTGTCTAACAGCCCTTAACTGAAGTGCCCTGTGGGTTGAAGCTTCCACTGGTACTGTCACCATCGGATAGCTGGGATTTTGGTTTGGTCTCCGTGCTCAGGGTAGCTCAGGGCTGGTGCTTGAACCAGCTGATTCCACCTGCTTTTGCACCTCCTTCACACTCTTGTCCCCATGTCTCTCCCATGGTGGCACCGTGGGATGGGGAGGAGGAACAGAAGTGCCCCACGGTCCTGCAGCCTGTGGGACAAGTCTTGGTTGAAGGGCTCAGAGCTCTCCTATTGCTGCCACGACCATAAGAACCTGTCTCCTTCCTTCCCCCAGCAATTTGGCAAGGAAGAGTTTCCTTTTCCATCGGAGTCTGAAAAGCCAGGCAATATTTCCTTCTTGGTTGTGTGGAATTTGGGGTGCCAAGCTTGAGCTGGGATGCTCTGGGACTCATAGGTCAAGCCCACAGGCTGGTTCATGCCCTGGTCCAGCATTTTGGAGAGCAGGAAAGAGGTTGCCAGCAGGGAATGGACTGAGTTCATTCCACTGAAAGCCTTTGCTGGGTCATATGTAGATGTGTCTATGAAGATGATTCCATTTCTGGCCACACAAACACCAACTTTCAGCTGCTTCTTTTTTCCTCCATCCTTCTTACATGTACTTCAAAGAGGTGTTAAGAAGAAAGTAAAGTCTGATCACCCCCTAAAAACAAGGAACCAAAAGGCCAGGTTTGATTCTTCCCTCTTACTAATGAAAATAATCCCTTGTTCCTCATGGCTGGAGACTGCTGGGACAGGAGAACAGCTCCAGAAGGTCATTGCTGACAACGTTCCCATTTACTTCCAGGGTTAAGTAACACGTACCCTTATCAAAAAGAAAACAACAAAAAGGTATTGCTGAGGAACAAGGAGAGAAGATAAAGCACCATCCCCTTTGTGCATCCAGAACTGGAGTGTTGGACTTGCTCCCCAGGTAAGAAACACACAGCAAAAGGGGCAAGTGGTCAGCAAGGGACTGAATGCACCAAGGAAGTGCTGCTGCCATCTCCAAATGCCATATAGGGATGTTTGAACAAGTTCTGCCTCTCCATAACTTCAGGACTATGTGCTGAGGGAGGGGAAGGAGAAGGAACCTTGTTCCACAGGTCAGGAAAGCAAAACCCTCCACTTCCAGAAAGGTTTGAGGGCTGAGCACCCACTGCCTTCAAATAAGGGTAGGAAACAGGCACAGCTCACACCTGGCTGAAGCAGCACTTGCAGGGCTGTGACATACAGCAGGAAGATTCAGTTCCCTTTAACATCATTTGGGAGGTGGGAAAACTGGCTCGGGATAAGCTTTCACCTGCAGTAATTAGAGTCAAGAGGGTAATGAGAAGATAAGGGCTAAAGTCCCCTCTCTCTGTAACCTGAACCCTGGGATTAAAGTCCTGTTGGTAACAATACCATCCTCCTCAAAGGCTGTCTTGATTTGAGTGGAGGACGTTTGGGCACCTTCAGAGCAGAGAGGGATTTTGTCCATAGGCACTTCTGAGTTGGGGAGAAGTGAGTGATGCTGCTCCGTGGGGTATCTCCTGCTGCATCTCTGCTTTGGGGACCTCCAAGAGGTTCCTGCTTGGTGTCCTGGCCACTGGTGAGTTTCCAGGACTGCTCCTCGCATGGCACAAACCAGAGTGCTTGTGGGAAGCAGAGGGTCTTCACCCCATTGGACTGTGTCAGGAGGAGAGGGAAGATAGGACATCAGCATGAAAAAGAGGTGCAAAGAGAGGAAAAAATCCCTGAATGGAGTGCCCTGGACATGGGGAGAGCCCCGTCTGCCTTTGCACGGTCCCTGCTGAGCATCACTCCTTTCCTGCAACCCAAACGTGCTGGATGTGAGCAGCACCAGACCAGTGCTGGAGGACACACTGCCAGATTACCTTCTGGCTCTCCCTTTCCAAATCTGATTAAGAAGGCAGATCTCAAAGCCTTTCTACATTTAGTGCAGGTCCAAAAGACAGTGGCAAGTCCTAGAGGTGGAGCTCAGGGGGTGGCTATGCCTATTACAGAGAGGGCTGCAGCTCCAGTGATCTGTAGCATAAGGTGGAAACCAGCCCTTGGAGGAAAAAAAAAGAGGAGAGAAGTTGGGAAATCAGTTTGCCTCTTTCCCTAAACCCAGTACACAAGCTGGCAAGACACACTAATGGGTGACCCTCTTTCTAAACGTGCTCCTTTTACCGGAGCCCATGAGGAGAACCTGAAACCACGACTCCTCCCTACATTTCTTGTTTTCATTTGTTCTGCAACTGAATAAGTTAACAAAAGGAAGTCAGAATGGTTCTTTCAATTTGGCTTCTATAAAAAAAAAAAAAAAAGGAAAACAGTCTGGGTGTGAACTTGCCTCTCAGGCTTCAGGATTTACCATCACTTTATAAACCCCTGAAAATAGGAGTTTATAACAGGAGACTCCTGACACCACCTCCACGAGCAGTGCTGCCTGTCTGCCCCGGGATTGTTTAACAAGGAACATTTTGTCATCAAGGGTGGGTTTCATCAATACTATACAGGTGAATAAAAAAATACATATATTCTCTTTGAACAAGAATCCCAAGTCCAGGCATGTGGAAGGCTGCGGTGCAGGGACCGGCGTGGGCAGGAGGTCCCCAAGTCCCTCACGAGTGATGGCTGTTGATGAGGCTGCGCAGCTGCTTGGCCACGGTGTCGATCAGCTTCTGCTTGTCCCTCTCGTTTTTCCGAAACTGGGCAAAAACGTTGTTTTTTCTGCTCGTGTCCTTCATCCTGCATAGAGCAGAAACATGTTATGGATGGCACAGGAAGAGCTGCTCAACGTCGCACCCAAGCCCCACGAAGGAATTCCATGTGCAGTGCCCACAGAGCACTGACAGAGAGAGGAGGTGACTGCACCCACAGGCTCTACCCCAACTCTTCTCATGTATTCGTATAAACATGGGCATACCAAGCCACGTGCAGGCTTTGTATTTATGCTTTAAACCCCACAGATCCCTACCAATGTCACCATTGGGTCTACTTCTAAGGCTAAATTTCATGAAACCCTAAAGCCTCTTGTCCTCCCCTTCCAAACAGTCTTTCACAGAATCATGGAATCAACCAGGTTGGAAAAGACCTTTAAGATCCAGTCCAACCATTAACCCAGCACTGCCAAGGCCACCACTGCCCCACGGCACTGAGGCCTCGTCTCCATGGTGTGTGAACACTTGCAGGGACGGTGCCTGCAGCCCTGCCCTGGGCAGCCTGTTCCAATGCCTGAGCACCCTCTGGGGCAGGAATTGTTCCTCAGCTCCATCTAAACCTGCCCTGGGGCAGCTTGAGGCCGGTTCCTCTTGTCCCATCCCTTGTTCCTTGGGAGCAGAGCCCAGCCCCTCCTGGCTCCATCCTCCTGTCAGGCACTTGTAGGGAGCCATCAGGTCCCCCCTGAGCCTTCTCTTCTCCACACTGAACCCCCCAGGTCCCTCAGCCCTTCCCCATCACACTTGTGCTCCAGGCCCTGCACCAGCTCCGCTGCCCTTCTCTGGCCCTGCTCCAGCACCTCAATGTCTCACTTGTATTTCTCTTTGCTAGATCCCCATGTCACATTCTGAAACGGGAAATTATAACATTGGAGTATTATGGGAAATTAAAAAATTAGCATTGGATCCACAGCATTAAGGCTTCTTATTTGACATGATGCATTGCATGCGGACAGGAGATGTAGGTTTTGGGGCGGCTGGAAAGGTTTGGAGTTGTGAACTGAAAATATTATACAGTGTTACAGAATATAATTCATTTTAAAGGAAGGGATCCAGCACAGGTTTCCTCAATTTAAAAATCTTCTTGAGATTTATATTCTTTAAATTACATTTTACAGAATCATAGAATCCCAGAATGGTTTGTGTTGGAAGGGACCTTAAAGCTCATCCACTTCCAACCCCTGCCACAGGCAGGGACCCCTTCCACTAGAGCAGCTTGCTCCAAGCCCCTGTGTCCAACCTGGCCTTGAACACTGCCAGGGATGGGACATTTAATATGTGAATCAGCGCCCTGCTCTCCACAGGACCTCCAAAAAGCCAGAGAGAAGAAGAGCAGGGGGTAGGATGGGACCTGAAGATGAAGCTGCTGCAGCTCCATCCCCCTCTGCCATGCAAAGCTGGGGGTTCATGCATGCTTGTGTTCACAGATGAATATTTGGGGCGGGGGGGCAGGTCTCAGTGCACGCTGCAAGCATGAGCTTTATGCAGACAGGGCACGTGCTGGGAAGGGAAATCACCCCACAACGGTCAATCCTTCAACAGTTGAAGGTATCAGGCTCCTAATACCCAACCTGCTGGTTCCCAGCCGGCACCGCTCTTGTATAATACCCTAATTTGTAAATGATTTTCTTGGTAAATCAGATCTGGCAGAAGCTGATGGCTTTGGACGAGTCACGTCAGCCTGAGTTTTCAGCTTTGGGGATCTAAATGAAGCATTAAAGTGACTGGGACACGGCGCTGATAGTCCTGGGAAGCTGGCACTTCATCAAACCAGGGGGTTTTCAGTTAACGGAGCAAAAGCAAACTTCTTGAAACTTACTTAACCAATTTAAACAAAAAAACAAATTAAGTTTTTTCATGCTTCAATCTTCATAAAAAAAGGGCCAAAGGGAATCTGAAATGTTCCCAAAAACATCCAGCTTGGAACGGGAAACAAGGATAACAACTTCATCCGAAAGGCTAATTTGCTAAAGTTGTAAGTGCCCAAAGACACAGGATTACAACCAAGCTGCCTTCCCAACAGTAACAAGATAGCTTGGAGCACTTTTATTCACCAAAGTAAGTACTATTTTAATTTCTCTACTTTTTTAAGCAACGCAGGTTTCCGGCTGCTCCTCTGCAAGAACCAGGGAGTGATGCTCCAATGGAAAGCAGTGTCTTTGAGTCTCACAGGATACAGGTGTCCCAGTACCCTCAATTTTGGACATAACCATCCTCCCATGGGACACCTTAGGCAGTGCTGTACAGCTCCAGCAGGTCTCAGATCACTTTACCAGGAGGGTTGAGAGCTCTGCTTCCACTTCACAGCCCACACGGGGACATCAGAGGTGCTGAGAGTAAACTTGTACCTTCAGAAACCTCCACCCAGTGCTGTACCCATTGCTCTCCATCACTGCCCACTGCAGTTACCCCCAGGTAACGCATGGGGAATTCACAGCAGAGCATCCTCTGCCATAAGAGCCCTTTCTCTCATCCTGGGCATCCTCGGAGCCATCTCTGATCCCATGGGATCTGTTCAGGTCCATGAAATGTTTTTGAAGTAACACGTGTTGTATGTAAGAAAACCTTCTTTGAATTATTAGAAAGGCTCTGCATGGATAAAGCTGCTGGATCAGGAAGAAAAAGCATTATGGTTGGAGCACTGATCCCCTAACAAACTCACATAGGTGGGCCTGTTAAAGTGGAGATGAGTGTCTGGGAGGGACAGGAGCTGCTGGTATCTTCAGAGAGAGCATGAAGGCAGAGGTACTAAGCTATTAAGTATTATTAATGAATTAAGTTGCCTACAGGACACACAGTCCTGCAGAATCTGGGCTGTGCTATGCCAGGGACCTGGCAGCATTGGGAGCTGCTGCATCCCTGTGGAAAGCTGAGCTTGCAGATGTGCTTGAGGAGACCACACCAGTTCTGGTCCTGCCATCACCGCCCTGCAGATGACACTGAGCCAATGCAATGTGGTTGGTATTAAAGGTTTTCAGAGACACCAGCCTATTTCTTTCCCAGCATTTAGCTATAGGAAGCACCCTAATCAAGTGGTGCATCCAGACACCAAGACTATCAGGTTGGAAAGAGGGTGCAATGCTTTTGAGCAGCTCTTTGGAGAATTGAGACTTTAATTTCTTTAAGTGTGTTCCTGCAGTGCCCTGGGACAACCAAGCCTGGGTTTGTAACACGGTCTGTATGTATTAGTGCAAGGATTAAGAGGAAGGGAAAAAGAGAGAGCTCAGTGCTGTCCCCACCCCTGTCAACAAACACCACCTTCAATAAAGCCAAGCTTTGTTTAAATTAATCTATAAGGGAAAAAAAGCAACGGAGTAAAAGCTCCTCTTTTAGCTCTAATTAGTGCATTTGAGACGATAAAGTTACCGGTGAGAACCGTTCCAAAGACAGCTTGCATTTAGATCATTTAGTGCTCCATTTAAATCAAACAATAAAGTCACTGCAAGGTGAGGGTAAAAGCCCAAGCAAGCAGCATACTTACACTCGTGATATCCTATGGGAGATGTGTGATTAGGAAAAGAGATAATGATGAAAACAGGTTACAAAATGAACCAGTGGATCAGCATTTCACATCGCCTCGTGGGCAAAGCTTGGCTGCTATGGAGAGGGATGGGGAAGGCTCAGGTGGACGTGCCTGAAGCTATGGCTGGGTCAATGCACAGTGTCTGGGGTGCTGGAGCTGGTGGATGATGCACAGAAGATTCCCCAAAGGGCCTAAAGCCCAAGCAGGGAGAGGGCAGAGTATGCAGGCAATGATGCTGTGCCGGTGATGGCACGCCACAAGGATGCAGGAGATGCAAGTGCTAACCTGGTGGGTAACTCTGGGAAGCAAATGGAATACCTTCAAATGAGATCCCTTTTGGGGAGAAGGCTGGCAAGCCAAACTGGGGTTTGTGGCTTTTTAACACCAATGCATGGGTGCTGCATGCTTAAATAATGCCTGGGAAAAATGGCCAGGAGCATGCAGCTGCCCTCCTGCTGTCCTAGTGGCACCCCACAAGCTGCCACATCACCCAGCTCACTGCCTGCTTCCCATTCCCTGGCTCTTCTAACTGCTTCATGTCCAAGTTCTCTGATTTTTGATAGCTCTTTATGTTACCATTTTACTGGCAGCTCTGAGTATATCTCAAGCTTTTGCATTATGGATGTTGAGTTGTGAATATGTTGTGAACAACACAGGATATTACACAACACATAAATACATATATAAAACCAACGTTATGATGTACAGAAGTGCTTTACACACAGCAACTACTGTAGTTCAGTCCCTGTGTACCATAGTGGTAATATCTAGATGTCATAAGTTGCTGTGAAATTACTTAGTCACCTCTGCAAGAGGAGGTGGCTCAGTTACATGGATCATAACTACTACAGATGCACCTCCAAAGCTGGGAAGCACTCCAAGGGCGGCTGGTGCTCCCAATGAGAGCCTGAAAGTCCACCAAAGAAAGGGTTATCTGGGCTACCTCCTACCAGGTGACTGCTGGCACTTCTCTCCCACCTGCTAGAGGGGTTACAAGTGAAGCAAATCATACAGTCATGGAATGGTTTGTGCTGAAGGGACCTTAAAGCTCCTCCAGCTCCAACCCCTGCCACGGGCAGGGACCCCTTCCACTGGAGCAGCTTGCTCCAAGCCCCTGTGTCCAACCTGGCCTTGAGCACTGCCAGGGATGGGGCAGCCACAGCTTCTCTGGGCACCCTGTGCCAGCGCCTCAGCACCCTCACAGGGAAGAGCTTCTGCCTAAGAGCTCATCTCAGTCTCCCCTCTGGCAGGTTAAAGCCATTCCCCTTGGCCTGTCCCTACAGACCCTTGTCCAAAGTCCCTCTCCAGCTTTCCTGCAGCCCCTTTAGGCACTGGAGCTGCTCTAAGGTTTCTCTGGAGCCTTCTCTTCTCCAGGCTGAACAATTCTGGAACAAATCCTCCTCTTTGGGTCTGCAGCGAACTCATGGACTTTCCCTCCTTGCTGCTGGCTCGCAGGAGTGGCACCAGCCACCTCACAGGAAGTCAACACATTTCAATCCAAACCCTGGAATTCTGGTTAGTGGGATAAACCAGCATGTTTCTATTCGAGTTCCCCTTGTCCACCCAGAGGTGAAACCTTTGCTCCCTGCAGCACCACGATGGAACACGCTGCCAAAATCCACACTTGCTCAAAGCAAGATGGGGCTAAGATTATCCCGGTTATCCAGACCCACACTCACTTTTCCAGCAGGACAAGGGCTGTCGTTGGGTTCACACGAAGATACTTGCACGTGGGTTGCCCGTAGTCAGCCAAATACGTCGACCAGTCCCACTGGATGAACAGATCCAAGAGCTGGAGCAGAAAAAACACACAGATGGAAGATTTATAAAGCTGGTCAAAGAGCGGATGGTTGAGCTAAAAGCTGACCCTGGACAGGATGAATTAACCACAACAAATGGGTTTTAGTCTTTATTAATTCATTTAATACTATCTGCTAATATCTGTCTATTAACATATTCTTATTTAATCATTAATTTATTACTATTTAATGTCAATTTATGTATGGCTGTATTAATTTAGCTATAGTGCACCCCTGCCACTTTATCTCTATTTTTGGGGTGAACTATCAGTACAGAGGATAGGAGGACCAAGATACCTCAAGGAGATGGGTGGCAAAGACATCCTGATGCTCTCAGCTATAGCAGGATGACAATTTTGGGGTTAAAGTCATTGAAAATTTCTTGCGGCCCCAAATGGCCTCCAGCACCATCTGAACCATGCCACAGGGATTTCTCATCAGGCTTGGTCCACTTCAACAGCTTTCAAGTGCTTTGTAAGCAGCTCTAACAATGATGAGAGCTCCCTAGGGAGGTTTGGGACCCATTCAGGAGCTCAGTGGTTTATTGGGTGAACACAGCTACCAGAGACCAGGAATCCCAGGTGGTTTCCAGACGTTTGTAAGAGAAACCACCAGCCCCTGGCAGTAGGGGAAGGATTAATTCAGCCCTCCATCACAGCCCGTGCTCCACACCTGAAGTCTTTCACCTCCACAAAGGACTCCCTGAGTGACCCATCACTCTCAGCTGATCCAGTTGAGGGACGAACAAGCTACAGCCCAGGTTTCCTGTACGCCCTCCTCCACCCCACCTTTTGCATCTTTGTTTTCCTTAAAACCCAAACAGGAGCTCTCATGTTGAAGAAGTCCCTGCTCCCTGCAGGGGGCTGCACTAAATGAGCTTTAAAGGCCCCTTCCAGCCGAAACTGTTCTATGATTCTATGTCTTTCCCACACGAGGACCTCCTTACCCCTAAGAGGACTGGCCTCTCCATCGCCCCTGAGAGCACAGCTGAAGATGCATGGGATGCAGCCTGCTTCTCCATCATCTAAAACAGGTTAATTAAGAGCGGCTGCATTCCCCCCCTGCTCCAACCTTCTGCCTTGGAGAGCTGCTGTGACCTCTCTATTGCAGGACAGGCTGCCAAGCATGTGGACATCTTCATCGCTCCCAGCACCCACCACTGAAGCCCGGAGAAGGACCATCCCGCAGCCAAGCGGGGACCATAGAGGGCTCATTGTACCCGCGTCTCCATGGTTTTCCTGGAAGCTCCAGCACTGTTTAACAACACATCCTGCCCCGCCAAGAAGGGGATTTAGCTCCTCCAAGACCTCAAGGTACAAAACAAAAATGTGCAACAAGATTCTTTTTGACTATGTAGGTCAGGGCAAAGAAAAGAAGCTGTCAGGAACAATCCCATGGGCTGGCGGGGGGGACGGATTAGCCGGGACCTAAGAGGGCTTTTCCAGCCTGCGGTCCTGAGCGGCTTTGTATGGCGGGTCCATTGTGTTAACTACAAACCCGAGCTGAACATCATTGGCGGGAGGTTTTTCCAATGGGCACCTTCAAGAGACAACCTTAAATATGATTTCACAGGCTCTTTTCAGACAGCACAGCGGGGCCCAAACTCTTCTATCGGGCTTTGCTGGCTGCTGGGGCAAGTTGCATGGTTGAACAGGCTAAAGCGGATCCCCCCCAACGCACCAAAGTCCTTTTGCTGGTGGCCCTGGAGGGATGAACGTGCCTCTAGCAACCCATAAACAAAGCAGCACGAGTTACTGCACAGAAAGTGCATGGCCGGGCCATGGAAGGGCCAGGTAGCCATTCATAGGGAGTAGAAATAAAGCCCCAGGAATAAGGGACTAAGGAAGAAGCAAATGCAAAGGGGAAGATTAGAAGTAGGTTAGGGGGAGGTGGAATTAAAAGCACTGGGAGGTGTCATAAAGGAGGCTGAGGGGGACAACATTGGCTTGGGGAAGGCTCAGCAGATGAATAAGGAAAGGGCCTAGAGAAACCTCCCATGAATGTCTTTCAGAAGAGCGTGGCTAATGCAGCATGGGGAGCTGTTTAAGAAGAACTTGGATGAACAGCTCAGCCCTTGCCCTCCAGCTTGGGAGCCTGAGCCAATGCTTGCCATTCTCACCAGGGCAAGGTGAAAAGTGAACGGTTCTTAGGCCAACAGCCATCCCCATCCCACAGCCTTCCTACAGCTGAGCTCCAATTCGGTTCAGCTCAGCCAGGTTGAAGCAATGCAGCTCTTCTGCACACGGGAATGTACAAGGCCAGGTTGGACACAGGGGCTTGGAGCAAGCTGCTCTAGTGGAAGGTGTCCCTGCCCATGGCAGGGGTTGGAGCTGGAGGAGCTTTAAGGTCCCTTCCAACACAAACCAGTCTGGGATTCTATGATTTTACTCTCATCCATCAAGCCATTCATGTAGCTTCAGTTGCATTCCTGGCTGCAAGAGTACAATAATCACATCTGAGAGAAACCCAGTGATATGGGGATGTTGGTCAAGAGCCAGCTGAACATGAGCAGCTTGTGCCCAGGCAGCCAAGAAGGCATCAGCATCCTGGCCTGGATCAGCACCAGTGCGGCAGCAGGGCCAGGGCAGGGATTGTGCCCCTGCACTGGGCACTGGTGAGGCTGCACCTCGAATCCTGTGTTCAGTTCTGGGGCCCTCACTACAGGAGACACCTTGAGGTGCTGGAGCGGGGCCAGAGAAGGGCACTGGAGCTGGTGCAGGGCCTGGAGCCCAAGTGTGATGGGGAAGGGCTGAGGGACCTGGGGGGTTCAGTGTGGAGAAGAGAAGGCTCAGGGGGGACCTGATGGCTCCCTACAAGTGCCTGACAGGAGGATGGAGCCAGGAGGGGCTGGGCTCTGCTCCCAAGGAACAAGGGATGGGACAAGAGGAACCGGCCTCAAGCTGCCCCAGGGCAGGTTTAGATGGAGCTGAGGAACAATTCCTGCCCCAGAGGGTGCTCAGGCATTGGAACAGGCTGCCCAGGGCAGGGCTGCAGGCACCGTCCCTGGAGGTATTTAAAAAGGTGTAGATGTGGCCCCTAGCGACATGGTTTAGTGGTGGCCTTGGCAGTGCTGGATCAACAGCTGGGCTCGATGACCTCAAAGGTCTTTTCCAACCTAAATGATCTTGTGAGTCTAAATAAGCCCCATCCTAAATGTGCTCCCAACCTGGGCTGGACCTTCCCCAGGCACTGGGAGACCCAGACTCCCCCCGGCCAGCTCACGACAGTGATGGATAGCCTGTGTATTTTACAACTGCTTGCTCACATCCATCTTGCTGGCGAGGCAGGTCTGAGGATAGCCGGGGCCAGCACCTTTGCCCCTGGCTGCCGTGTGGCACAGGGCATCGCCGGCGCTCCCAGGGCTCTGCCGCAGGTCATGTACCAGAGGAGAAGAGGTCTTGCGAGGAGGAAGCCCGATGGCTCAGAGCAAGCTGCCTCGAAGCGATTTATCTGTCACATAAATGTGGTTTTATTGGTTTTACTGTTTAAACTTTTCACCTCTGCTGCTAAATGTGAATGACTGGGGGGGGGGGGAAGAGAAAGGAAAAACCCGCCTGCACCGCGGCGCTGGGCTGCAGCGGGTCTGCCAGGGGAGTTTCCAAATAAAATATGCAAATACCATTAATTCCTCAAACTGGAGTCTCCTTTTCAAGGCTATAAATCAAACTCGACAGCATATACACTGGGGGGAAAGGAAAAGAAGAGGGAGAGGAAAAAAAAAAGAGCAGCTTTTAGCGTGATGATGTGAAAGTGGAATAAGCTCAGAAGCTGCAGACGTGCTGTGTGTGCTGTGCAGGGCTACGACCCTGCAGCTTCCCAGGGTGGGAGAAGCATCTTGCTGCAGGAGTGGGGAGAGGTTCTCTGGAGTTCTTAGAAACTAACAGTAATTTACATCACAACTCATGCATTAATCATAGAACCCCAGCCTGCTTTGTGGTCAAGGGACCTTAAAGCTCCTCCAGCTCCAAGCCCTGCCACGGGCAGGGACCCCTTCCACTAGAGCAGCTTGCTCCAAGCCCCTGTGTCCAACCTGGCCTTGGACACTGCCAGGGATGGGGCAGCCACAGCTTCTCTGGGCACCCTGTGCCAGCGCCTCAGCACCCTCCCAGGGAAGAGCTTCTGCCTAAGAGCTCATCTCAGTGTCCCCTCTGGCAGGTTCAAGCCATTCCCCTTGGCCTGGCCCTGCAGGCCCTTGTCCCAAGCCCCTCTCCAGCTTTCCTGCAGCCCCTTTAGGCACTGGAGCTGCTCTATGGTCTCCTGGAGCCTTTCCCTCTCCAGGCTGAAAACCCCTGCACCCTTGGCCTGTCTCCAGAGCAGAGGTTCACACATATAGTAACAAAAATGAAAAAATGGAGAATGGTTTGAATATGCTACAGAAAGATACCCCAAACCCTATGCTTTTATACATAGACATGAACTTTAACTCAAATGGGGATTCAAGAGGTGGCAACACTGGGAAGAAAGAATTAAACTGGGAACCAGTTCCCAGTCCTGCTTCAGGCTCCTCTTGGCAGGGGCTGAGAAACACCTTTTCCCTATTCCCCCCAGTTCTACCTCGAAAACCACCTCACCCCCTTCTAACATCACCATCTCCAACTCCTCAAATCTCATGTTTTCACACCCCTGACATCACGTACAGGGAAATGATGGTGCAAGCTCATTGCACGCTGGAGGGACATAGCAATGACTTCCCAAGCTTTTCCCTCCAGATGCAAAGGAACCGGGACACTACGTTCTGTCTGACATGAGACAACAGCACTGGATCTGGACACAGTTCTTTCAGCCAAGCCAGAAATAATGTAATGTGAACCCAAAGGGATTCTAAACACAGTTAGCGAGCTCCGCCAGCACCCTGGAACAAGATCAAGGAAAGCACCAGTATTTCCACGCTTATACCAGCATCACAGCAGGCTCTGCACAAACCCAGGAGCTGACCTATGGTGCCTACAGATAACAAAGACAGCAGGAAAGGGAGACTCATGTTTCCTAAGAT